CCAGGTATGATAAATGGTCAACACAAATCAACATTATAAATAGAGGGTTCCTCATGGCTCCATGTCCTACCTCTTGCATCCAATCACTTCCGCAATTTAAAATCTGTTACTCACAGTGCCCTAATCTGTGTACTAATTTTCTCTCTGTTAGTTTACGTTCCAAATAACATAAATCCCAATTCAAACAGTGTTAACCAATAAGAAGATTTAATAAGCCATGTATCAGAAGTTTCATGCAATGGTAGAATTCAGGTTCAGGATACTTTTAATCAGTAGCTCAACAATGTCATCAAGGTTCCAGGTTCTCTGCTCTTCTCTCAGCATTATTTCCCAAAATAAAGTCTAAGGAACACTAGCCCAGGAAAGAAGTGTCTGACAAAACAAAGTAACAAAACCTCAGTGAAAAATATCCTCAGGAAACATTTCACAGGGTATTCTCACCTTACAGATGCACAGTGTTCATTGGCATATCAATGTATGTACAAATATTAGTCTTAAATAATGGTTTTGTTTAATGTTATAATTTATAGGAAAGAATGTGCATAGTCATTTTGTGGAAGGATGCCAATAGTGCTCTGTTTTAGGGCCCAAATTCCTTCTCTTTGATGGGAGGAAAAGTGCCAGTGCTGATGTCTTTCAGGGACCATTCTTCAACAGTGTTCCTTCATGCAAAAAACTCAGAGTAAAGGCATGATTGTTTTGGTTCTGTTCCACAGGGGAGGTGAACTGAACAGTTGAGTCTTTTTATTTTTTTAACTGTTATTTTAGATTCAGGGATACATGTGCAGGTTTGTGATATAGGTAAACTTGTGTCATTGAGGTTTGTTGTACAAATAATTTCACCCCCAGGTACTAAGCCTAGTACTCAATAGTTATTTTTTTTAATCCTCTCTCTCCTTCCACCCTCCTCCCTCAAGTAGGCCCCTGTGTCTGTTGTTCCCCTCTTTGTGTTCATGCATTCTCATCATTTATCCTCCACTTATATGTGAGAACATGTGGTATTTGGTTTTCTGTTTCTGCATTAGTTAGCTAAGGACCACACTTTGAGTGGACATTAAAAATCCAGTGGAGTTTATGAAGCCAACTGTAACGTGAATACTTGGGGGTTGTGAAGTTTAGTTGGCAAGGTCACTGTGAATCAAAATTTATTTCAAATTGAATTTCATCTAGAATGACTTTAAAGTAACTTTATCTACCCTTTCTCAGGGCCAATCACAAGCTGAGAACCCTGGAGCCCATAGCATGCTCACAATGGTCCTACAAAGTTATCTGCAAAATACTTGACACTTATTTGAGTCTTACATGATAATATCTTCAGTGAATTCAGTATTAGAGTAACTGTTCTTATATTCAGCACAGTTTTTGTGATTGCAAATGACGACCTATAAAAAATCTCCTAAAAGTAGTTTGCTGACAGGTTATAACTCTCCACCGTGCTATCTATAGCTGAAGTCAATCTGCCTAGTTATTACACACCATAGAGCTGATCTGTAAGGAGACAAAAGAAAAAATGTTTATTTATGGATCTTATTGATTTGTTTCCTTCACAAGACAGTGAGGGAAATCTGTGAGGGCTGGAGCCCATCTGCTTTGTGAGTCTTTACACTGTCACTTTTCACATGGTTCAAATTTCCCAGGCCAAGAGGTTTCACTAGGCCCACTAGGCTGCAAGAGAGTTGAAGCTCAAATGGTGCCTCATGTCCCCCTCTCCTGACTTTACAAGTCTTCAGGATAGCAAATCCTCCCTGCCCCCAGTGCATTTGGCAACCTTTGACAAGGGGATGTGATGGGTAAGGAGCGCTCTTCATGGGTTTCTTCCTGACTCCCACATTAGCACAGGTAAAGCTCTAAGAAGTCCTGGTGAAAAAAAAAATGTTTAATTTTCTTTTGAACACTGTTTATAAGCTTATTTGGCAAGAAACCCACTAACATCCTACAGAATCAGTGCTCCACTGAACATGCCTTTGGGAGGCCTTCATTACATGACTTCTGCCTGGCTCTGGCAACCTTTTTCTCTAAAAAGGTTTAGGTGTCTGCATGTAGGAGTGTGTATAAAATTTGTATTTTATTTTAATTAATTATTATTACTTAAATGAATAGACATGGGGTCTCACTATGTTTACCAGGCTGTTCTCTAACTTCTGGCCTCTAGTGATCCTCCCACCTCGACCTTCCACGGTTCTGGGATTACAGGTGTGAGCCACTGTGCCTGGCCTAAAAACTTTTAAATGTAGTTTGGATATAACCCAAATGCCTAATAATTCCTTAGGAAAGTGGGGGAAAGAAGACTGGGGAAGAGATTTCAATTTATTTATAAGATTAATTTGTTTTCTAATGTTTGCTTTCATTCTGGCGTAGAAATGTTAACAGCTCCCTCTCGCAGCTGCTGACATGGGTAAAGGTACTATTCTTTGTGTTCCTCCTATTCTCTAACTACACTTTTGTAATTTGCTCCTTTATAAGTAAACCCTCTTCCAATTATCCTAATTTGAGTGTGCCATCTGTTTTCCCACTGACACACCAGTATTGCATGTTTACTATGAGACAGAAAGATTCTAGGTACTTTAGATGAGTTAAATCATTTAATCCCAAAATGTAGCTACATCTATTAACTATATTTTATAGATGAAGTGACTGACATCAGAGAGTTTGGATAACTTGCCTAAGGTCACATAGCTAGTTAGCAACATGGGTTTGGAGTAAATCCACGCAGCATGGCTCCAGAATACTTGCTTTCAACCATTATACGATGCAGTCTTTCAAATAAATGATTTTGACTATATGAGATGAAATACATACAGCATTTACAATGAATGACATAGATCAATATGAACCAACATGGGTAGATCTCAAGAATCTAAGGTTAAGGCAAAAAGAAAGCTTCAGAATCATTCCATTTTGTGTATATTTTAAAATAAATATGCAAAACTAACTTTAGATTGTTTATGGATATATGTGTGTGTGTCTGTAGTAAATTATAAAAGGTTATTTGAAAGCAAACTAAATGCATCATAATGGTTTTCTTGATAATGGAAGAAAGTGTGTCTAGGGTAGAGAACAAAGGAGATTTCAACTTCACCTGTAATGATTTCTTTGTTTAAAACCACAAAGTAATGAAAAATCTGGGAAAAAAAAAACAGACAAAATTTGGCAATTTTTGATTCTAGGTCATGAGTACATGAATGTTTGCTATATTACCAATTGCACTAAAGCAAACACTTTTTAAAGCTCAATTCCAAAAAGCAAATAGTAACAATAACACAAAAATTAAAGAAAAAGAAATATGAATAGTAAATAGAAGGCAAGGACATGGAGATTAGATATGGAAAAATTCTTAAAAGACCTTTGGCCATAATGGGGAGGAGAGAGAGACAGGGAGCTGTGGTTGGTGGTAGGGGTGAGATTAAGGGTAGGTTCTTGAAGAGAGACTGGAGCATGGTTATGTGATCATGGAGAATGAGCCAAAAGGAAGGGAAAAACTGATGATGAAGATAGAGGGAGATTATATAGAAAGGAGCAAAGCCCTGTATCTGGGAGCAAGGGTACATGTATGTAGTAATAGAAATGTGAAGGTGTTTGTTTCTGAAGGATTCACCCTGAAGTGAAGTATGGATGCGGTACAAGGCCTTGAGGGGAAGGTATGAGATAGTCATTTCAGCAAGTGGGAAACTGAACTTAGTAGAGCAAACTAGTAGAATTTCTGGGGAGGGCCAAGTACCCATTTGAAGTTACTGATCACAGATGTAACATGAAATCTGTCTCTCCTGTGTGAGAACCTATATGATTCTCTTCAAGAACATTTAGTTGCTTGGTGAAATTAGAGTTAGGTTTTGCTATAAGAATACACTGGAGAAATCGGGAGTCAAGAGAGTGTTTGCAAGAGTAATCATACTTTAGTCCCATGGAGCCCAACCATGGAGCCCAACCATGGAGCCCAACCATGGGACTAAAGTAGGAAAATAAATAGAAGAGCAATTTGAAGACTGATGAGAAAGTAGAGTTCAATCAATTGATTATCTGATGAGGTCAAAAGATTATTTTAATGGGATTGCTTGATCAGTTAATCTCAAACAATAGGAGATGGTGTCCGAAAACGGAAGGTTTGGATTTGAGATCTTGCAGGTGGAGAAGTTTCTGGTAATGACGAAATTCTGAGTGAATCATTGGTGGAGTGACTGACGCAAAGCTAATTATAAATGAGTGTTTTTAAATCCCTGGTGGAAATGTCAACTGAAGGGAGATTCAGGGGGGCTTTCCCCTGAATACAGATGACACAATGAATGGAAGATTGTGATCTTGCAGTTGAAGTTCTTGGAGCATAGGAGGAAAAGCCAGGAGGGAGAAGACAGTTTTGTTTCATTTAGCTTCAAACATGGATTAAATAAAGAAAGAGTTTTGTTTTCATTGCATAACCAGAAGCCTGGATGTAAGCTCTCCAGGCTGATAACAGTAGCCACATTATGCCAATAGCCTCCTTTTATCCTTCCTTTAAACCATCTTTAGCTTGTGGTTTTTGCCTCCACACCTGCTGCCTCATGGTTATCAAGATCCATCATCAAGTTAGCATTACACTCAGCAAGAACAGAGAGGAGGGGTACAAAATGAGAGAGCCAGCTGACTCTTCCCCCATTTCAAGTGAGTTCTTACGAATTCTGTCCAGTATTTTCTGTTTTCACCACATTAACTAAAACCATGTGACATAGCTAATCTTAGCTTCAAGGGAAATTTTAATTTTAATTTTTCCTTTAAACCTGGGCATATTTTTGCTCCATTCAAAATCAGTTTTCTTTCTTTTGGAGAAAAGCAAGGAATGCGTAGCAACTAATAGTATCTGCCATGTGTTATATCCAGGACGTGAGTTTTAATGGATAAATTAATTTTGTGAAACCAAGGAGGCTTGTTAATCTGAAAATAACTATGTATAGCAAAAGGGAAGACTAAATTACTTTTTGATCCTGAGATCCACAGGATACAAGTAAAGAAAACTGTATTTATTTTTTCTTATTTGAGGTACAGTTCAATTTCATTGAAGTCCAGGAAGTGGTAGAAATGAAAAGAGAAGAAGAAAAAGATAGGGAGAGTAAGCTAATTCATAAAGACACAGATATAGGAGGGCCAGTGATATGGATATAAGAGAAAAAGGAATTGGAACAAAATAGTGTGAGATTAATAGTTGAGGAATGGTGAGGCTTCTGCCGGTGCCTGAGGTAAACAGAGACATAATATAGGGTGGTGTTGATCCCTAACAGTATATTGGAGGAGGTTGTATATCATTTTGTGGCTGTGGTCTAGATACTTAGGTTAGTGGTGTAGTGGCTCCCAGGACAGCTGTCCCCTTGACTTACATGCAGAACCATGAGGGAGCTATGAGGAAGCCTGCTCCTCAGGCTTCACTGGAGCTAAGATGCTGTGTGTCAGTGGCAGGCATGCCCAGCACAGTTATGGAGGTTGTGTTCTGCACAATAGCACACGGCCTGAAGAGTTTGGTTATCTGATGAGCCAGTGCCTCTGCCTTGGTGCTTTGAGAATCAAACCATGTACTTTTCCAGGTTTTGTCCACCTGGAAGAGCCTTTCTTTTCTACTTCTCATTAAGAAAATATTTCTAGGCTATGCTATGATATTTGTGGGTATTCCTATTTATTTAATTAACTTACATTTTTTTTCAGTAACAGAGATTTACTTATACAGGCTCTCCAGCCTACATGTTTTGGGGGACCCAAAGACAAATAAAACATGTTCCCTATTTATCCTCAAGAAGCTTAGTGTATACCAAGGAAATAAGACACAATAGCTGTAATCACCCAGACTCAAAGAGTCAGCATGTTAGAAATGGAAGGGAACTTAGAGGCCATCTATTCAAATCCCTCATTCAGACACGGGGACCAAAACTAAATAAAAACATCTGTGAAGAAGGAGATTAGGAATTGCAAGACTAATCCTCAATCCAAAAGATGTTTCTTATTTTGTGGAAAAGGAATTAAGTCTAAGACATTTTGGCTCAGAGAGATCAAAAAGGACTTTGTTTTTAAAACGTCCTTCAGTGCTACACTGGATAATATTTGTAGTGAGAACATGGACTTACAGAATGTTCTTCCAACAGAAATTATTTGTCGGGGGAGGATGCTGTTCTCCAGGGAAAGGGACAGCTTTTTTAATGGCCACTACTGACCTTGAGGATAAATACAACATTAGAGTAATTATACCAGAAAAGCAGCTCTCATAAAACTATGTTGACTGTTCTTTTTAGAGACAGAGTAGGACTCCTTGTTTATAAATATTATCCAGAGGCAAAAAGCATGGAGCCTGAACCCAACTCCATCCTACTTCTCATATATCATATGTGGTGAGAGATTCCTGGAATTTCCATTAGAATTATCTTATTCTATAGTTGAGTGGGGTTTAGATACAGTGAGGCCACCCCCCAGAGAAAATTCTATCAAAACATTTAATAATGTAACAAAATATGAGTTTTCCAGTCACAATTCTTTCATGAACCAAGCAAAGACAGCCAGTGAGAATCCTTCTAAAGCTTCTATACCTTCACCACCTCCTCAACTAAGGAGTTACCAAAAAAACCCCCAGCCCCCTCACCTTTTGTTCCCTTAATAAGTTTTCTTAGAATAATCATTTTATTAATTTTCTTTTCACTTTGTCTCAGAATGGACCTACACATTTCCAAACCTCAGCCTTCCCACTCCATTCACTCTGCTCACATCTCATTCTCCTATTAAAAATAATTAACCTTATGGCTCCTTTAGTTAACATCATTTCTCTCCTTCCAATCACCCTTAACCTCCTGAAAAAAGAAATGTTTGCTCATTGCTTTAACTACCTCAACTCCCATTCACTAGCAAATTTCTTACAAATGGAGTTCTGCACCCACAACTTCTCCGACATCATAATCTTCAAGATACTTTTTCAGTCAACTAGCTTAGATAAACCTGAATCAAACCGTACCCATCTCACCCCTGTTTACTCCTGGCTTAATTTAGGATTCCTAAATGCTCCTAGCTTGGGTCTTCCATATGCATAATCCAGATTTAAGCTATTCATTCCCCTACTCCATTCTCCAGATTCCAACCAAGACACCAACATACAACCAGGTTTAAAAAGCCAGTGTACACAGTAGAGTCAGGCATAGCCAATGTAGAGACCTGACCTTCATGTAGTCTATCTTGGGAGAAAACTCTTACAGGAGGTAGTTCCACAAAAGATAAAATCCTAGACAGAAATTAACAGCCATGAGTAAATTCAGTGTCATGGAAAAAATTTTAAATAGCACGATGGTAATTTCAATAGCAAATCTTTATTGAGTGCTCATTGTGTGTAAGGCACTGTTATAAACGCTTTTAGGCATTGTCTCCTTTAATTTCACTTTATAGAAAATACCGAGGTGCTCAAATTTTAAGTAATTTGCCCAGTGTCACAGTTAGAAAGTGATAGAACTATAGTTTGAATTGGACACTTTTTCTCTTTCTTCAGTCCGTACTCTTAACCACTATATTATACTGCCTCCTAAAAAGTCACTGGAATCCTTTAAAAGTGTTTTTAAAAAATTCAAGGCAACTAAGCCAGGCCATTATATTCATAAAACTAGAACAAGAACAGTTATTCAAAAGAGCCAAATAGAAATCTTAGAAATAAAATGTATAGTCATTGAAATGTTTAATTCAGAAATAATTGATAATTCTTTACTAAGAATGAAGACATACAGCCTGGTGTGGTGGGTGGCTCATGCCTGTAAGCCCAGCACTTTGACAGGACAAGGCACGTGAATTGCCTGAGCCCAGGAGCTCAAGACCAGCATGGGCAACATGGTGAAACCCTATCGGTACCCTAAAAAATACAACAACAACAACAAAAAAGAAAATTACTTGGGCATGGTGGTGCATACCTGTAGTCCCAGCAACTTGGGAGGTTGAGGTGGGAAGATGACTTGAGCCTGACAGGTAAAGGTTGTAGTGAACTGAGATTGCACCACTGCACTCCAGCCTGGCTGATAGAGCCAGACCATGTCTCTAAATAAATAAATAAAATAAAGACATACCAAAAAAAAAAAAAAAGAAAGAAAAAGAAAAGAAAAATTACAGTTGTAATTTTAAAATAAATATCATACTTAATGAGGAAACACTAGAAAATGTTCACTAATATCAGGAATAAGGCAAAAACATGCCCTTCTCAATATTGTACTATAGATATTAGATAACATAATCAAAAAAAATCAATTAGGGTCATACAATTTGGTAAAGAAAAAGAAAACCATCCCTTTTTGCAGAAGGCATAACGGCAGGCCTCAAATACCCTAGAGAATTGACAATAAAACTACCTTGAACAATAATATAATTCAGTGAGGTATCATAATATACAACTAATAGGCTAGGCACAGTGGCTCACACCTGTAATCCCAGCACTTTGGGAGGCTGAGGCAGGCAGATCACGAGGTCAGGAGTTTGAGACCAGCCTGGCCAATATGGTGAAACTCCGTCTCTACTAAAAACACAAAAGTTAGCCGAGCATGGTGGCATGTGCCTGTAGTCCCAGCCACTTGGGAGGCTGAAGCAGAAGAATTGCTTGAACCTGGGAGGCGAAGGTTGCAGTGAGCCAAGATCATGCCACTGCACTCCAGTGTGGGCAACAGAGTGAGACTCTGTCTCAAAAAATATATAGATAGATAGATATATGTATCTATATATATACACACACACGATTAATACACACAATTAATAAGAAATTAATTAGATGACATCATGGTAGAGAAAATTCCAATTATAATAGAAGCAAAGAAGATTAAATACTTAGGGATAAACTTAGCAAGAAACATATAAAACCAACAAAAGGAAAATTATAAAACACTCTTGGCAGATACACAAGTAGACTCAAACAAATGGTAAGATATTCCTGTCTTTGGATAGGCTCACTCAATGTTATAAAGATGTCAGCTCTCCCTAAATTCATTTATAAATTTAACGCAATCCTAATAAAAATTTCAACAAGCATTTTTTAGGGAGTAAAATGACTTGATACTAAGGTTCAACTTGAAAAGAATGAACATACATGAATGCCTAGACAGTAAACACACTACCAATCTTGCATAATTAAAAGAGTATTCTACGGGTATACGAAAGGACAAATATACTGGTGGACAAAAATAGTCCAGGAATAGACTTAAGTACACATGGAAATTTAGCGTAAGATAAAGATATTCTGTAATTTCAATTTGTATTTCTTCTTTTCACTCAGTTATTTAATAGAAAGTTTTTGAATTTCCAGGAGGAAGGGGCTTTTAGGTTTTGTTAATCACAGTTAATTTTATTTCATTGCAATCATAGAACATTGTTTGTAATATTTCTACTTAGTTGGACTTACTAATTTTCTTTTTGAATTATTACACCCTAATTTTCCGTGAATATTTCACAGGTATTTGAGAAGAAGTTAGATTCTCTATTAGCAGGGTGTGGAGTTTGATATATATCCATAAGAACTACATGTGTGTGTGTATGTGTGTGTGTGTGTGTGTATTTGACCATAATACTTATTTTTTGTTCTCTTTCTTGTACTAAGAATAAGGCAGGCCAGTCTCTGATTACTAGTGTGTTTGTAAGTACCAGAAAGGTAGTCGCTGTGTTATTTTGTGCAAAAATATTTATATTTAATATTTCCATTTTAAGTTGTGGCTTTTAAGCCTTAAAAAGTATTTGCCTTTGTTATGTTCAGTACATTTTGGCTTGGATTTATCTTCTGTCAGGTTTACTTCTCTTGCTTTCTTGTTGTTTATGTCAGTTATACCCTTGTCCATTTCTTTATGTTTAATCTTTCTAAATAACTTTGTTTTAGGTATGTCCTTTGTATGCAGAATATAGTTAGGTTTTACTTCTTTCTTTTTTTTTTCTTAAATGGAGATGGAGTCTTGCTCTGTTGCCCAAGATTGGAGTGTACACTATCATAGCTCACTGCAGCCTTGAACTCCTGGGCTCAAGTAATCCTCCTGCCTCAGCCTACTGAGTAGCTGGCACTACAGGCATCCACCACCATGCCTGGCTACCTTTCTTAAAAATTACTTTTGTAGAGATGGGGTCTCACTTTGTTACCCAGGCTGGGTTTTATTTGTAAGCCTAACTAAAACTTTTCTTTTAATGGAAAATTTATGAACATTTATATTTACTGATATATGTTTGCTCTCAAAATTCTATCACACAATATTGTATAATTGTGTGTCTTTTGTGATATTTTCTATATTTCATTCTCTATGAACTGTTTATTCTTTGTCTTTTAATCTTCCTTTTTTAATTTTTTGATATTTAGGAGGATTTATATTTCTGTTCTAATGGTTACCTTTGTATATATAATTTTCTTAGTGCCTTTCATTTCCTGTTTTCTTATTTAGCCTGTTATCTGGTTTATCCAATTTTATTGGTATTCTTTAACGGCTTCTACAACAATCAATGATCTATTTCTACTTTTCTTTTCTCCTTTCTTCCATATTTAGTTTCATTATTTTTATACAGAATTCTTGCACACCAATTTTAAAAAGTCAGATAATTAAATTGTTTAAAGCATGGGAATATACAACTAATGGAAGAAAAATTAAAATGGCCAATATGTATATGAATGGAAGCTCAAATTCCCTAGTAATTAGAAATGTACAAATGAAAAATACTTGGTATTTTTTGCCTGTCACTGGAAAAAATTAAAGCTTGGCAAGTGTTGTATATTGGGGAAAATGAGGCTCTCATACATTTTTGTTAGGAGTCTAAATTGGTCTGATTGCATGATAATTTTGCATGTTACACCTCTCAGCAGTTTCATTTTATGAACTACATTATAGATAAATGCACCAGGAGACATATATAGGAATATTAATTTAAGTACTTTTGCCAGAAGCAATTAGAAATGACCTAACTATTTAACAATGGGTCTATAAAGAAATGCAATTATATTTAGATTCTTTGATTCTAATGATTCTTAGATTCATATGACAGAATTCTTTCCAGCAATTAAAAAGCATAAACTAGAGGTATAGACTTTATACTTCCCATGTTAATACTGATGGTTTTTAATCCTAAACAATTTCATCCATTTATATGATCAGGTGTTTTCTCTTTGAAATAGCAAAAATTATACCACTTACCTCATGCTTTTGTTGTGATTGTGGAAATATATGAAGTGTTTTAAAAGATGATTAATACATAGAAATTATTCAATAATGTAGTTGTCATTATAATCTAAAAACAAAAACAAAAATTCATAATTTTAAATAATAAAAGATGCAGATTATATTTATATAAATCAAAATACATACCAATAATTACTATATACTTTTTATGAATCCATATTGTCTTAGTTTGTGCTGCTATAACAAAATACCTGAGACTGGGTGCTTTATAAATAAAGAAATTTATTTATTGCCGTTTTGCAAGCTGGGAAGTTCAAGATCAAGGTGCCAGCAGGTTCAGTGTCTGATGAGAGCTGCTCTCTGCTTCTCCAAGATGGTGCCTTGTTACTGTCTCCTAACATGGCAGAAAAGCAGAAGAAAATGAACCCCCTCCCTCAAGCCCTTTTATAAAGGCTCTAATCTCATCCATGAGAGCTCTGACCTCATGGCTTAATCACCTCCTAAAGGCCCCACCTCTGAATATTATCACATTGATGATTATTAAGTTTCAACACATGAGTTGTGGGGGAAGCATTCAGATCATAGTACATATGTATATGAGGACATTAAAAAATGATCTGGAAGACCATACACGAAAATCTTAATAGGTCCTGAGTGTGATGAAAGGGGAAAATAATGGACATGAGAGTCCTCTTTTTTTCATTAAAAAAATAAAAAGGCAACATAAACTATATACTTTTAATGAACCCATATTGTCTTAGTTTGTGCTGTTACAACAAAATACCTGAGACTGGATACTTTATAAACAGTGGACATTTATTTCTCACAGTTCTGGAAGCTGGGAAGTTCAAGATCAAGGTGCCAGCAGGTTCAGTAGGACTATATTTAATATAAAGTCCAGGGACTTTAGTTTTATCCATTGCCTCTTTATTTCTTTAAATAAAAAAAGGCATGGAAGCAATATCACAACCTATTGACAGTATATATTTCTGAGTGGTAGAATTATAAGTTGAGCTTGCATGCGGTTTAAAACATTTATCAGAAAGAAAGAGAAATCAAGCAACATGAAGGTGAAGACCTTGCCTCTGTTTACTCCATGTGCTCCCAACTGGCTTTAGGGCGAGACTCTTACTGAGAGTAGGGAGATTAGTGAGGAGACGCTTGTTCACAATGGATGACATAGTACCAGAGGTCCCCAAATTGGAAGTGATAAAATGCATCTCAATAAACATATTGCTAATAATAGTTAAAATAAAGACACTTACACACGATTTAAGGAAATGAATTAGAGCTGAATCAGAGCAGTTGTATGGGCAGGAGATTCTTTCATCTGATGAAAATGTTCAGTGTCTCTCACTACTTCCACTTGTACAGCTAACTCCTGCCTTGTGTAGAACTGTAATATCTAGCGCTTTGGAGCCCAAACCCCTGTGGCATCCTCCAGGGCAGATGGATATCTCTTTGAAGCACCCCCTGAATTCCTTTCCCTGTTTCATTAGGTACCAGTCCTAATCACCTCTTTTCACATTCCATGAAGAAGTGGTTGAAATCACTCAGAATACGATGACTTGTTTCTCTTTTTCTTTGCTATTACAGATTTATACCTATTTCATGTATTTACTGTCATTTCTGAAGGATTCTCAGGAGGGAAAGGAGATTTCAAAATAGTTCAATTTATTTTTTCAAAGACTTCAAATTTATTTTACATAGAATACTCTTTTTTTTTTTTTTCTGTGGTTAAAAAAACAATACAAACTATTCTCTTCACAGATTTTTAAGTGTACAGTACATTTTTGCTAACTATGGGCACACTGTTGTACAGCAGATTCCTAGAAATTTTTCATTTTGCATAACTGAAACTTTATACCTATTGAAACTTGATTGAATAGCAACTCCTCCATTTGTCCCATTTCTAACCTCTAGCAATCACTATTTTACTTTCTGCTTCTAGAGCACACTCTTTTACATACTCTCTGGCTATCCCATCCTTACAAAGTTTTAAAAACAAGTAAGTGTTGGATTTAATATTATTTCTATAGAATTTTACATTTTGGGTTCTACTCCATGTTTTAGTAAATCGAGATAACTTTTATGCTTGAATAGTCCATCACATGATCTCCTTTGCGACAATCAGAAACACGCTTTGATTTTTAGCCCTCGCCAAGACATCACCCTCCATTGCTCTACATTAAACTTGGAGTTTTTCTTTTCCATATTGTTATTTCCGCAAGGTCCCTTGGTATCAAATAGTGATTTAGACTCTTGTCCCAAGGAGTCTCTTCTACTGGTTTTATATTCCCATTATTAGATTTAATGGTCAACAACAGTGTCCCTATCTCTCAAAAATGATAAATAATTGATTTGCCGATGTTTACTCAGTCGGTAGATGGCAGAACTTGGACAGTTTGTTTAACTCATTCAGTATTTACAGATGTCTATGTGCCTGACATTGTGCTTAGTGTTTGGAAGGCGGAGGCAGGAGCATTGCTCAAAACGAAAAGCTCAAGACCAGCCTGGACGACAAAGCTAGACCCTGTCTATACAAAAAATTTTAAAACTAACTAGGTATGGTAGCATGAGCCTTTAGTCCCAGCTACTTAGGAGGCTAAGGTGGGAGGATCGCTTGTGCCCAAGAGTTTGATGATGCAGTGAGCTATGATCATGCCACTGCACTCCAGTCTCTGGTCTGGGTAACAGAGCTAGACTGTGTCTCAAAAACATATGTGTGTGTGTGTGTGTTTGTGTGTGTGTGTGTGTGTGGTTTAGAGTTACAACTTTCAAACTTTTTTGATTATGATCCATAGTAAGAAATATAGTTTACCTGATGACCCTGTGGACACATACGTCTTGATAAAGTCAAAATTTCAGAAAACAATACTAACTTTCTACATCCAATGCACTTGGATATTTGTCTATTCAATTTGTTTCATTAAAAGCATCAGGTCATAATACACTGCATTGACTTTACAAGCCAGTAACAGCCGTTGATCAACCATTGCAAAAAGGGTAAAGAGGGAGTCATTTAAAACAACTAATTTCAGATAACAGAGAAAATTATGAGAATAATCTTTAATTGCAAATTTAGAGCTGTTCTTACGGATTATGCAGTGCCACTTGTTTTTAGCTTGGACTCATGCCTACCTCAGATATTTACATTTACAGATTAACTTATGAGCACCTTGGGCCCCGACAGGATGAGACACAATTCAGGTAAATATTGGTAAATATTCAAGTAAATATTCCTTGAGTGATAGGAGTTCGGAAAAGTTTGAAGGGAAAGGGAAGACAAGCCTAGGCAAGGATGGCTAGGGTGGGGAGGTCCAAAGAATTACAAAGCATTAGTCGTCCAAGCAAAGAATAATCAGAAGACCACTGACAGAATTAACAGAGTTCAGGGATAATATCATTATACTCAATCCCTATTAAGATTTTGGTGTTTGGTCTCTCAGGTCACTTTTTTAGTAACTTCACAGACATATGGATTCATAAAGAATATATAGTAATTATTCATATTTGTTTTGATTTATATAAACAGTGATCTTGTCTCTCAGCTCCAGAAAACCTTGCCTGGTGCTCCCTGAAGGCTCACAACATCCCAGCCTGGCCTCCATCACTCACTTATAATGTGTTTTGGGGTCTTGAGGGCAGGGAGCTTTCTCTTTCTTCTCTGAATTCCTAGGATCCAGCTGAGTGCCTGGCACATGGTAAGTACTCACGTACACATTCCTTGAATTCCCTAGATTTCAGTTTCCTTCACTGTGAAACAATTTGGGCTAAACAATCTCCAGGAGCCCTTACAGTCCTCAGAATCTATGACTTTGACCGATCTGAAGTGGTCCAAGGCACTTTGCTTCACAGGAAGCTCACATCTTCCCTGTGATTGGCCTGAGATTAGGAGTTCAAACGACCAATGACCTGTGCACAGTTTAGGGCCTAACCCTGCCCTGGCCGGTCAGCAAGAGTGTGTTGTGATACGAGCAGATGAAAGCCTTATGCCACAGTAGTGCCTGCAGCAGAGAAAGGATTCCCTCCTCCACCTCAGGTCCCTCTGCTGCTGCTCTCCAGCCTGCAGTTTCCTCTAAGGCTCTGGATTGGCTGGAAGAGCAACAGAGGGCTGGGAAAGAGCTTCTATATATACCTCAGAAGGAAAGGCGTCCCGGACAGTTTTGAAGTTTTCAAAGACTGGCTCTGCTGTTAAGAAGTTGTACTTAAAGCGGAGGAGCTAAGCCACCTGCCAAAATGTGCAAAGGACTTGCAGCTTTGCCCCACTCATGCCTGGAAAGGTGAGAACCAAGTTATTTTGGTTTAAGAGATGCAGATTTGGAGAATCTTTACTCAAGGGAGGCTGTCCAGAGGTAATAGAGGTATTGTAGTTTGTGGCTAAGCTGAGGTGAAACAGGTGCTTGACTGTAGACTGGGTATTATCTCTTCTCTGTAAACAATATAGAGACTTTGGAAGATCCAAGCTAGGAGATTAATACAATGTAGAGTATTTCATACATCATTTAATATCCAGAACATCATTTCCTTCAAGGAGACACCTATTCTATAAGTGCTTATTTAGAGTAAAAACTGTATGGTTAAGGATATAGATTCCAACATCAAACTGTCTAGATTAGAATCCTGGCTCTACTACTTACTATTTGTGTGGCTTGGGGCAATTTATTTAACCTTGATATAGCTCAGTTTCCTTATCTGTAAAATGGAGATATTAAGTGTTCTCTACCTCACAGGCTGGTTATGAGGATTGAATGAATTAATTGTATATGAAGCACTCAGAACCATGTCTGGCACCTAGTAGGACTGTATAAATGTTAGTTTTTATTAATGTACAGGGACTGGGAGAGGGAGGCAAGTTTGCAGTGAGGAAGAGGAAATTTCCCATTGTTCTTTGTTCTCTGACCTCATTAGATAGAAGTAGCTGGATGGCTAGACATAGAAAAAGCCCTTGGGACACAGGGGTTATTTATTAGCTAGCATTCTTTTTCAGATAAATGCATCAAAATCTTTGAGGCTTCCCTGTTTCCCCTAGGCTGGACAATATTCTGGAGAATCCTAGGTATCTAGGCTAAGCTAATAGAAGTACAAATATCTTACTTGTTAGAAAACTTAATCCAACCATCTTCTCTGATGCAGAGAAGTAGGGATGCTTCTCCTTTTGTTAAGAATGTATTTGGTTAAATTGGGTTTGATCCCTCGTTATTTAAAGTAAATAAAGAAGATCCTTGCACAGATGTTCATCCCTAAAGGCATTAGCAATGTTTGTCTCAGAAGATTTTATTGTTTACTGGGCCATCTATGACTTCTGTCTCGTACAAGTTCAGGTCTTCTTTTTGATGACTTCCACTCTAGAAATAACCTAAAAATAATTTTTAAGGAGATAATATTGTAGCA